AAGCACATTTAATAACAACAGAGAGTTGACCAAAGTGCTGTACAAAGTAATAATCAAACATGACAGTAACATCAACAACAGGTAAGAAAATTAAAAGAAACTTAAGATCAAAGGAGTTAGTAACTCTCATGCAGTATCGAAAGCCAAAGTAAAACAATATGTTTTAAGATGGGTTTTAAAAAGAGTGAGTTTCTAATGTGGAGAAGTAGATCGTTCCACATCTTCGGCGCCACCACCACAAATGCCCGATCCGCCCTATGAACCATCCTAGACTCATGTACGGTGATAGCAGCCTGACCTGGCTCACAGTCTGCAGTGCCTCCCTCTCTCTCTGTAGGTCTCTGTGTCTCTTGCCCTCTGCAGTGTGGCAGCAGTATGGTAATGAATGGCTCCAGCTCGCTCTGCAGTGGTAGCAGCTCGCTCGCTTCGTACTCATACCACTGCTGCGTGGACTGGGGGGGGCAGAGAAGGAGAAAGATGAGGTGATTCATAAAAGACTTGACTGTTATTTTATCTTTTCTGCTGTAAACAATAACGTCACTTTTCATTTGTGTGAGGCTGCAGACTGTCAGCAGAGACTGCAGGAACAGTGGTTTGTGCTGCGAAAGGCTCGTCATGAGGGGTTCTGTATGGAGCCTGTACACTCACACACATACATCAGCGTCCTCACTGATCTGAGATCAGAAACAGATGGAAGGTTTGAATGCTTCAAAGCCTCGTTGTGATAAAACCGTCTGAGACAGAAATCTTAAAAAGAGACGATCCTGTAAATATTTAGATTGCTTTGGCTTAAAAATAATCAGATCTAAGTTATTACTGTACATATTTGTGAGGCGCCCACACGCGACGCTACGTCTAAGGGTAGATTTTCCCGCCGAATCACTGACCTGCTTCATTTCAGTGAAGCTCCCACCTGCTGCTCTCTGTGCTGGGTCCTACATACCACAGTAGACTGGAACATTAAGAGAAATCATCATCATGATTTCTATACATGTAGAAATTTTCTGGGATAGCAAACCAGAAAACCAGATTACAAGTACTTCATCCAACATGCAGACCAACTGCAGCGAACGCCAGCAGGGAGACGCGCTGACAGGTAACATTATGTAATGTCAGGGTCACCAGGACGCTGCACTGAGCACAATGTGTACATCAGCCTGGATTTACACTGTACATCCGGCACTGTGTCAGCGTGTGCTTCCAGGCAGCGTGGCATACATCAGGCCTGCAGCTACACAGCGTGACAGGGAGCGTGCAGCAGACCAGCAAAGTGTCACCCTGTCACAGCGAGTGGGATGAAATGTGAGAAATACGACGTCAGCTCGGTGAAGCGTTGACGCAGCAGCTCGAGCTGAACTGCAGCGTGCAGCACTGGGCTCCTTGTGGAACTGTTTCTGGTGTCTGTGCAGCCATCTTCACTGTGCTGGGAGGCAAAGGTTACAGAGGTGAACCTCCATGATCCCAGAGTTCATGTGCTAACACATGGAGAGAGCTCATAGTTTTCATTTTTAACAAAGGGAGAGTTTATAACCGCTGACTTCTCACACGTGTCCCAACCTTGAGTTGTATGCAGGGAAGACCTCGACAGGCTTGGATTGTTCCCTATTTACGGTTCTGTGCAAAAGTTTTCAGTCAGAGTCATGTCTTTATATTTTGATGGGAAATAGGTGCAGTGATTTTTTTAAACCTCTCAAAACCTTGGTGGAAGTGCAGCTAATTTGCCTCATTAGCAGAGTTTGTACAGTTATGACCTTTGGCCTTCAGCACAGCATGAAGTGACTGAGGCAGCTTTCTTGTCCTTTCTTTGAGTTGTCTTCAGGAACAGTTCTCCAGGCTTCTTGAAGGACTTTCATTGCTCGTCTTTGGATGTTTCGGACTTTTGTACCACTCTGTGTCAAGATGATCCCCACAGCTTCAGTGATGTTGAGGCTCTGTGGAGGCCGGTCCTTGACTGATAGCGTTCCCCTCTGTGGTTTTCTGTCCTGGGATGCTTTCACTGCACTGCCAGTGTGTTTGGGATCATTGTCATGCTGAAAAATGAAGCCAATCAGATGCTTTGTAGATGGTATTGCATCATGTACCGCGTTCATAATTCTAGCAATTTTGACAAGCTCTCCAACACCACTGGCTACAGTTCAGCCCAAACCATGACAGAGCCTCCACTGTGCTTTACAGATGTGTTATCTTTGTCATTTTTCATTGATTCAACTAAATAAATGGGAACAAACACTGTGCTTTTGCAACAGGCTGCTGTTGCCCAAATTTACTATTTTAAATGAATTCTTTGCTAAGTTGTCTGTTATGTGTAGAGTTTGGTGCTTTTTTATGTTTGAGTGATTTGACTTAGAAAAAAAATGAGTGAAAAAAAGGACATGACTACAAACTACGTGAAAAAGCAGATGCCTAAAAACACTTTGAAAAACCTTACAGAACTCTGGAGAACTATCAATATGATATAAAGAAATGAGGAGTGACTTGAGAATGCTGGACGGACTCAGGCTGGGGTAAAGCAGGATCTGCATCTTAGGAGATGGAATTTAGTGACGGCTTCACAAAACACCTCTAGACTGGGAAACGCAAAGAGTTAAAGAGTAAAAACCACCTGAAAGAATTGTTAAAATGATAGAAAACTGGTTAGACTGAGCAGAGTAGATCATTATCTCTCAAAGCAACTATGCCTCAATGATGCGCTACTTAAAAAATAACATATATATAAATAATTCATGTATAATTTGTGGTAATACAATTTTAACACAGGAGCCTGTGGCTATGAGTCGATTCACTTTTGGAGCTCAGGCGGCCTTTAGAGGAACTGCACTTCACATTTTCATCAGTTTCGCAGCCCTGAAACTTCCTCGAGCAAAACCTGATGACATCCTGTACTTTGTACTAGAGCACGTGACACTTTATCATTGTTAGCCCCGGATCCCAGAAACCAATCACGGTTTAGATTGTTCATTAGCTGATTAGTAAATCATTTTTATAGCAGTTTGTGTTGTTTTTAAGCAAATCCCCAAATTTCTGTAGTAGCAGATCGTTACATTTGGAACTTTGGAAAGTAAAAAAATTCCTGCGTGATTTGAGCCGTGTTAGCCTGTGAGCTAAAACTAAAAACATCAAAATGTGTTTGCTATTTGTAACATGTTTGTCCTAGCTGTGTTTAATATTCAGAACTGATCAAAGCTTCTTGGTAATAAATTTAGAATGAGAGTGTTGTGGAAACGATGCCATACAGGGTAGTTAGCAGAAAAGATGTTCCAGGTATCTCAGAGAAGCCTTCTGTGGACGGAGGTTGTGTCAGTGTGTTTATGGGATGGATCACATAAACACTTTATGACTCTAGCTGTATGTTGGGGATGGTCTGCTTGCAGAATTAACTTAGCATCAGTTACATAGGTCACAAAAACTGCATTCAGAAGAGGAATGAATGGTGACCGTGTGAATGTGAAGCGACCTGGTTTGAACGCTCTTTCTAGGTGAAGTTCACTTATTTTCCAGCTTTTTTTAGGCTCATGATTTGAGTTCAGATGGACCGTTTAAAAGTGTTGAGCTTGTATTTAAAGGTGAACTCTTCCCACCAGCAAAATGTTTCTCCTCTTTCTCATCATCAGATGAGATGACCATCAGATGGTCAAATGACAAGCTGCAACAGTCCAAAGACAGACTGTTGTCCCTTTAAGAAATATTTAACACAGAATTTCATAAAAATTGAAAGAAACACAATTCGTGTTGCTTAATGTTTCATATTTAATTCACTTTGCCTGTACAGGCTCTTTTAGCAGATCTGTGTTTAAAGGGCAGACTCGTCCACAGTGTGTGGACATATGGTGTGTGGTCCCCAAATGCTTCCACACCTATTTTTCACATGGTCTAGTGTCATGATTATGCATTCAGTGTGGCTCTCTAGATTTCTCTGCTTGTAAAGAAGGCAAACAAGAATGATATAATATTAAAATGTTTTGATAAACATAATTTTTAATTCACCCATATTTTTCCACATCTTAAGTCATAATAAAAAAAACTGAAAGCCTTTGTGTGGATGTACAGGACAAAAGGAACATTTGAAAGCAGGAAAAGAAAAATATGCCCCGTCATCTCTTTAACCACCCACGCACCATAATACATCATAACCTGTAACACAAGGACATGCAGACTGTTAACTGACAGATTGCAAAGTTCAGCAAGCATTTAGAGGAAGTTCCTTGAGGTTCAGAGCTCGAGGTCCACAATGCATATCCTTGCACCGAGCACTAAACCTGCACCTGCTACTAATGGAAACATGAAGTAAACAGTCAAAATGTGGCTTACCATTTGGCAAGAAATTAGCAGCCAAGCGACAGTAACAGTTATCGAGCAGGAAAACGACTGGTCGTCCTCTTCCCCTCTGAATATAGAGCGGACTATCTTTATCTGTGCATCATCCTCCCTCTCCTGACTCACTGTACACTTTACATGTACTGCTTTGATGCTAACCGCTAGTGTTACGGGCCGAGACTGACTGTGTGCTAACCATAAGCTAATACAGTGTATCTTCTAACTGCTAAGCTAACACTTGTGATTGAATGTTAGTGCTGTATGCTGGTATGATTAGTTATAAAACTATACTAACTGCTGTATGCTGCCATTGATATTGTGTGCTAAGGCAATGCTAACATGTTAAGCTAAGAATGTTAGTTGTAAGTGTGTGCTAATGCTATGCCGCTGTTAATTATTGTGCGCTAAGCTAATGCTGATAGAGTTAAGTGTGCTTTTTGCTTCCATATTATTATCCTCACTAGTTTGCTAATGCTGCTATTAATACTTTGTGCTAAGCTAATGCTGATAGTGTGCTGTAATGCTGACTGTGCTAATGGTGTTTGTTTATCTGTGCCGTCTGTTGTTGTTGTTGTTGTTGTTGTTGTCTACCTTTCTCTGTTTCTCTCTTGACTTTATTTTTCTCTCTTTTTTCTCCCTCTCCCCAACTCTCTATCTTTCTGCCTCTCTCTATCTCTTTCTGTCAGGTCTTATTCCTCCTCCACCACCTGTTCTACTACCACCACTTCTTGTCGTTCCTCCAACAACCCTACTAGCATCACCACTCCTTCCTCCACCTCCTCCTCCTCCTCCTCTCTCTACTCCTCCAGCCTACCTCCTAACAGCCACGCCACCTACCATCAGTACTGCTGTCCCGCGCGCCTCCGCCTGCCCAAGCCTCCCTGCGCCCTGCCCCCCGCCAAGCACCACGAGCAGGCAAGGTAAGGGCCAGAGTCCCCCCACCTCAACACCCAGCCTCCCCACCCACTCTCTCTCAACTCTGCCTCCACCCACCACACTGCCCTGGTAGCTTCTTTACCCCCAACCCCAAGAGCTCATCCAGCAGCAGCGGTGAGGCCAGTGACCTGACGTGCACTCAGAGCGAATTTATACAGTTGTTTCTGCACTTCTACATCACCCCAGTCTGCACAGATGTTCCATCAAATCCATCATCCTTCCCCCTTATTTTGTGAGAGCGGAACAAGAATCGTAAGAAGCGAGTCTTTTCATAATCAAATGACATTTTTCAGACAGATTTGCCAGTTGCTCCCCAGTTTCCATCTTTCAAATGTGCATTTGTAGCCTTTCTTATATTTATCTAATTACAGCCTGTATTCCTCTGGGATTGAAAGTGTTTGAAATTTCATCTTTGGCATTGTGATGTGAAACAAATAATCCGTTACTTGACACAGTGAGCGGCAGATTGGTCGATAATAGAATAATCATTAGTTGCGGCTCTAACGGCTTTATTCGTAACAGAAAAATGCTAGATGGGATGCAAAAATCACATAGTTGTATGGAAATCATTTGTTTTTAATTAAGCACATTTTATAACATGGTGTGATTTTCCACCTCTGTAAATTTTAGCGCACAGGAGGTGGGAATTTAGGAGCATTTTGATTGGCCCCCAGCCGACATGATGACGGCAGGAAAAAGATCCAGGGTCCATCCAACGTTATTGTTGTCTTCATAGTGCTGCTGACTGAAGGCACAGTATGGCTGCAGGCCGGCTCACTGCCTAAAGAACCAGAATAACGGACCTTGAATTATTTAGTTTTTTCAAATCTAAAGACTAAAGTTTGCCTGGATTACTTAAATTCGCTCTAAATGCATCGTGTCGTCACGTTCAGCCTCACCCGCTCCCTCGCCTCCCCTCACAGTACAACAGCCTCCCCCACTCACACAACCATTGCAGCACTGAAGGTGAAGCAGCCTCTCCAGCCGCTCCTGCCCTCTCATCCACCTTCTCCCCAAAACATCATCAGCCATCCCTCTCTTTTTCCTCGATCACCTTCATCAGCCCCCCACCTGCCTCCTCCTCCTCCTCCTGCTCGTGCTCCACCTCCTCCATGCTGCTCTGAAGCATCACATCTCAAAGCTGAGCACCATAAACAGACCAGTTTAAGAGCTAATGACTCACCAGCAGCAGAAAGGCTCTTTTTTACATTTTCACAAAGTTCACAGAGAATAACAAGTGAAATAAAAATGATAACATACAGGAGGTGAGTGTGTAGTAATATCAGAAAGTCAAACAAACCAATTACACTCTGAAATAAGAAATATCTGATTTATAACATGACCGATCGCAGAAAGCATTTATACTCTTACATGTACAGTATATGCAGTACATACAGCATAAATTACTTTGAACATCAGGCAGTAAAAGTATCTCTAATCTAAATTTCTAATGTTATAATTTCACATATTTCTCTCTGACACAGACCTTAGTGTCAATCAAGGAGGATTCAGTCTCACACGTAGACGGCAGCCTGAGGCAAACACATTCACACAGTGCACACAACACGCCAAGAGTACCAACAACCATCTTTGTGGTGCTTCCTGCAACAGGACGAGTCTCAAGCAGATGAAGACAAACAACTGAGATATTTGTTAAAGCAGCAGCGTGCAAGTTATTCAGATCACATCCACACACACTCAGTATCATTAAGACCCATTAATCCCCTTAGTTTAGGTACTTTATCTATACT